ATATTAAACATCCTCTTCAGCTTTTTGTAATGCTAACAAGCAAGCTAGCTGGTCCTGCTGCTAAATTAAAGCTGAAAGCATAGCAGTCTGTCACAATGCAGGAATTGTACCTGCTGCATGCTCATGTTTTCACACAACTGTTTCTGAATAGAAGGAACTGAGGACAGTGTTACTGGACACTGCAACTAGGATAAAGACTGACTTGGCTTCAGTTAAGCTGAATGAGTGATGCGATGCCTGCAGGGGCCTGGTGAACTCAGAGCTTGGCTGGTTATCTGCAGCAGTGTTCACTCCTTCTGTTGTTGGTGCGTGCAAGCAGGTCTTGGTGGTAGTTTGTAGAAACTAGAGTTCAAGATATGACAGATTTCATGATTAAGATGGCTATTAACTTAAAGATTTAATTTTCCAGAGGTTTTGTGAAAACTGTTCAAAACTTAAGTCCTACAAATCCAGAAGTTTGAGAGTCTGGATTCTCAAACTTCTGTTGTATAAAGTAAGCAATGGCTCCTAAGACCCTATAAACACTGTTCAGATTCCTGATAATTGAAGACAAAGTTAATTAAAATTTTTGTATCAGATCTTGATTTAGTGAGTTTGTGCTATTGAAAAGCTACAATTCTCTTTATCCATTTCGTTTAGGAAGCAACCATTGCTCAAACGGCAACGGTGGATGTGTCCACCTCTGCCTGCCCTATCCAGGAGGACGGACTTGTAAGTGTGCATGGGGCTTTTACAGTGCCAATGACACTTCCTGTGTCCCACTTCCTTCCTGCCCCTCTGGAGAGGAATTCTGTCTAGATGGCAGCAAGTGTATCGGGAGCGAGAGGTTCTGTGACGGGAGTGCAGATTGTCCAGACCAGTCGGATGAACAGGACTGTGAGTTTAAATTTACTACGAGGAATAAAACATTTGTTCCATTAGTAAACAGTTTACTAGGAACATCAAGATTATAAGATTTATGTTGGGCTAATTTAGAAAAAGTTCTCTAATTCTGTTGTGTGGCTTTAGTAATTAACTCTTGAGAAGCAATTCAAATATTGCACTGCAATGATTTTTAAATGGGAGATGAGATGCATTGATGCCAATTGCCTACTAGTTGCCATTAGTCTTAAATGTCTGTTAGGCTGTTAACTTTTAAACACTCTAAATCTGCCTTTAGGTCCAGGATCTGCCTCATTTGGGACCATAGTTGGTGGTGACCAGTCTCCACGGTCTTACCCTCACCAACCTGACACTCGGAATAACACCATTGTGCCTGATGAAGACTTGGCGTCATGTGATCTCCAGCACTGCAATGGCCACGGCAACTGCGTCACAGAGGACAAAGTCACTCGCTGCCACTGCCTACAAGGTTACGAGGGAGAATTCTGCCAGAATCAACAAAGACAAAGTCACCCAGTGATCATCCTGGTGTCCATTTGTCTGGTCTCTGCAGTGTTAGTGGGTGCACTCATCTTCACTAAAAGGTAGCCTGAGTGTCATGTCTTTGGCAGGATCTTTGCTGCTTGTAGCAAAACTAGGCAGCATTTAATTTCCAGCAGCTCGTTACTAACCACGTTTTATGTGGTGTCTTCACTTTGCTGCTTTGATATTACAAATTCTCTTGCACACAGTTAAAATTCTGAGTGTTAAACGCTTTAAAGTACACTCTGCCTTCCAAATCAAAAGTAAATTGTGACAACTTGCTTTGTTTAAACAGAAGATGGGAATACATGAGAAGTAGATCTGCCGATAAAGAGAACCTAATAACGAATATGGTTATTCCAGGTGAACAAGATTCTGATTCTGAGGTAAAAACCAATTCATCTTTAAGAGTATAGCATATGTTGTCTTGCACTTTTCTCAAGTTTTGCAGCTTGTTGGACTTGCAAATATCCTAATGGCTCCAATCTTTCTTTTGCAGGAGCTGGAATCCCCTGTAGATGCAAAGAACCCACTGCCAATTAAATGAACAAATTGCAGATGAAATGAACTACACTTTTACTGTATAATAAAAACATGAACTGAAATTATTTTTGTTGTGATTTAGAGAAAGCTCGACCATAAACAAAACTGCCCACATACACCAACTGCATATTTCGAGAAATGGGCAAAGACGTTTTAACTGATCAATTTCAATGATTTAGCACTAAGATTTTCAAAACAAGAATATGCTAGACCTGAAGTTTTCCTATTCAACCCTTGCTAATCGCCTGTGATTTGGAGGCTTGTTTCCCCTTACAACCAGTTTAGCCTGCATGTTTTAGTAACACTTCTGTGCCAACTTCATGTTGTCATGAAGCTGTCGGTTCAACTTCATAACGTTGGCCAACAATCTGGTTCCTGTTTCTACATGTTGCCCATTACACTGAAATTCATAGGAAGAGTTGTGGTTTCTGTGCTGCCCTCATAAACATCAGAGAAATCAGTTTCAAGTATTTCATGGATGACTTTACTTCAACTTTGTTTGGCACAAGAAGCATGTGAAACAAAAGGACGCATGTAATCATGCTCAGTCACACAGATGGTATGAAATCAAATCCTGAGGCTGAAAAAATAATTCCTGACAAAGTGGTTGGTGCCTTGTAGCTAATAACCTGAAAATCAGGTTTTAAACTTGGATGGGGCCCATGTTGAATGGAGTATTTATACACTGAATGTGCCCTTAAAACTTGCAACTTTTGCATGAAGGCAATAAGTGTGTGGTCTGTTCTGAGGTTCAGGGAAGTTTTTCTGCAGATTTCATGATTATTAAAAGCAGGTATGTGAAATTCTGACTATGTAAGAATGTTCTCTAAAATTTCCTGGTTGATATTGTGCCGACTTTGGACAGTCCTATTTGACCCAGAGTGACTTGGATTAAATTTAGCTGTTGGTGCACCTATCTATATTTTAAGAGGGATAACTCCAAACAGCCACAAGTTTACCAAATGATTGATATCCAAGTGTAAGATCTATTTAATGCATTTTTCCACTTGTGTGAAAGAAAATGTTATGAAACCTAGATCTGTATTCTACTTTATTGGAAAAAAAAATGGTGCCTATTGTTCCTCATTGAAGTTCACTAATCTTCAGTAGTTGATGCATGTCTACAATCCTCCAAATGGTTTGTGCAGGAGCATGTATGAGTTGAGTCATACATGATCCTCTCTGGGCTCCACCTCATGCCAGAGCATGTGAAAACAAACATCCGGCTTTAAACATGCTCAATAGCCTGAGGTGATCTTGAAATGAACTGGTCTGATGAGGCAAAATCTTTTCACGTCAACGTTGCCAGAATGGACGTGTCTTTGAGAGGAAAATCCCTTATGCAACATGACAAACTGGCTTTAGTGACCAAGTGGCATTTTATCAAATGTAGCTTACTTTCAGAGACTTTATCTCTTGCTTTTGCTGATGGCTAGCTGGTTAGCTTATCTCATCTCTTCATCAAATAGCTACTTTAACCTGAAGATTGAAATGTCTGCCAATCATCTGTGAAGTCATGAACAGACACTCGTACTAACTTGTTTATTTAGTTACAAAATGATATTTTTTAGCTTGGACTTTTAAATGAGAATCATGTTTCAAGTAAAAATGTGACAAACGCCCGGCTCAGTGAGAGACGGGTGTTCAACTGGCAGAAGTGTCCAGTTGAACCCATTTAAGGCACTGGGGTTGTGTCTGTTTATTCAAGAACTGAATAAGTGGCGCTTATGGGTGTTCACTCCAGCAGTGTTTACTCTGACTCTGTTCTCTGTAAGGAAGAAAGAAACTGTTTTAAGATGCTAACATCTTAAAAGTTATTCCAAAAATATATTTTCTTTGCTTTTGGTCCTTTTGTCATTTCTAAGTATTTTTATTTAATATAGAAACTATATGCAACATTCATTTTGAATTTTTTTTTTATTGTTAGCTCAAGGCTGCCTCTTCTTTTGAATTTGAGAAATAAAATTGATATTGTACAAACACAAAGAAAGCTCTCGTTTTATTTTATAGGGGCTGTGAGAACTCGACATTGTTTCATTGATACATAAAACTGCATTACTCAACTGCGTAAGCTTTTCAAAGCATTGCTAGCACTTTGAGAATATGACTCATTGATGGAATAACTTTTTTATGATCATTAATCTCTAGTATTGAAGCAATGGGTGAGCAACACGAACTACCAATGACTCATGTTAATTTCAACTATCTTTAGCAACTTTGTGTTGCATTTTTGTTTACTTATTTCAAACATGTTTTTAAAAACGATACAAGCAAACATGTACATACATAATCAAGATCCAATAAGTGGAGGTTGGATTTCATTTCTGTTCTTCCCTATAAACATTTTTCTTTCAACATTTTTCATAATGTTTCTTGTAAAAGGAATAAAATGCTCACTTTCATGTTTAACCATGTATGTTGAATGTATACATACATGACTTCCGCAACTCTTCTCTGTCCAAGCTATTTTAAAAGGACAAAAGGGTGTCGTGTCTCATTTGAACAATGCCCATTGTCCTGAGAGTATTTGTTACTGAATATTGCTTCGATGTGGAAATAGTTTCGTTCCCTTTAATCGTTCCTTCCACCTTTTTTCTGTCGACATCAGAAGTGCTGATGATCCTTGTCTATGATTACTTGACCAGAAGAAAAGAGGGAGGGAAGTGTGACAACAGTAGACACCAGAGATGAAATCAGATGCACATAAAACCAGTTTGCATCCTTGAGATCATCTTCGCAAATAAAACCATGTAGTAATAAGGAAAAAGGTAGTCCATGTTGCAGCCTTGTTGCAATGACCACATTGTAATGACTGTGATTTGTGGTGGCTAATTTGTGTTTGGATTCAGCAGTGAGCAATTACAGAGCCAGCGTGGCGCATGTGGCACTTGGTTATGGTTTGACATGGACATATAAATGCAGTTCAAAAGTGCAGTACTGCTGTCTGAAGAGTTCACACAAGCTTAATTAGATTTTGCCTCTCTGTCTGGTTTGCATAAGGGCTCCCTTGGCTTACACAACACGTGTGTGTGTTCACATAGATATGTTGATTTTGTCATGTCTTGTAAGGTGAGTCTTGCTCTGACTTGTCTGCTCCTCCCACGCCAAAGTTTCCCAACACACCTACTGTTGCCACTCTGATCAGGATATCGTATTTTCAGTAAGTACGAACCTCTCCTGTTCTTCTTTATGCTCATTTAAATTCTTTCCACTTTCACGCCAACGTTCTTGTGATGGTTACTTCCTAAATTCCAGTTTTTTTCCACATGCTTTCAGTTTTAACTTTGGAAATCAGGATGAGTCGCCAGCAAACCGAAATGTGCCACGAGGTGGATTAAACCTTGTAACATGTCAAATTATGACATCCCTGACAAGGGATGTTTGTGTGACGTCGTTCATGTGAAAAGAGGGAGGACGGGACTCTCTTTCCTTGTTTGTAGGGGGGGAAAAATACAGGCATTTGTTCACAGGACTCAGTTTTCGTCTTTTGTTCTCCGCCCACTTTTTTTTTTTTCCCCAGGTGATCAGACTGACAGGGAAGCAAGACAGCAGACGACTGGACGAGCCAACGGCAGCAGCAAAACCGCCAGCTCACACGTTTGAAGATCCCAGAGTTTTCTTAATTGTTTCTGTGAGTTTTTTGGTGTTTTTATACACACACACACACTCTCTCTCACACACACACACACACACATATATATATATATTAAAAGCTTATAGCTTAATATAGCTTTAGAGTGCAACACTCTAAAGCTATATTAACCAAAACAATACTATTTCATACGTGGAATATTGACACAAATTGTTGGGTAGAAACTGATGTACATGTTTGGATTCTGTCTTATTGTGACTTCCAGTTACTGTAGCCCTTTCAGACAGAAATCTCGTGTTATAGATTGAAATGACATGCGTCAGATTAGTCTACCAATTAAGTTAGGACCATAAGCTCAAAGCAGAAATGGCAAAAACTGATGGCATTTTGTAAGGCCAAAAGAGTAAAGTCATTTTTAAATGTATTTTTCTTTAAATGGACTGGTAAACTTTGCAAATAATTTGTTTGTGATGTTGCCTTTAAAATATTTAAGGGCAGGGTGCCAAACAATTTCTAATTCTGTGAAGACAACGCCTGCACTAATTCATTGCATTTGCCTTTCTGAGAGAGACTAATAGAGTAAAAATTTCCATTTGAAACTCTGTGAAATTTTAGTTGCACGAACATTATTTGTACCGTCGCTGACGAGGAAAAAGTTTAGAAGCGCATTTAAGCTGGCCCAAAAACAAACGGTACAGATGGTAAATTTAGCTGAAAGGCTTATTGTTTAAAATGAGATCCGGTTTATTGTGAAATTAGCCTTTTGAGAAAAATTTAACCATTTTACAAGACAAAGTGTAAAAAAAAAAAAAGAGTTGGGTTCCACACTGTCCCTTTTGACCACGCTTGTCAAACCGGTTTTCTGACTAGTTTTACTTTTTTTTTTTTTTTACAAATTCTTTGGCAAAAAAGTTTAGCTTTTGCACGATAAAACATAGTGGCATTTAAGAGAAAATGTGCTCTACTGTTTTTTTTATTATTTGTAGAAGTGTAAAGATTGTTCATGTATTGCCCCGACCTGTCCTCAAGACATCAATTTCAGCTCCTGTTTTTGTCTTGCTTGTCATTGTCCTTTAGGGTGTGTTCTAATCTTTTCTCCTTCTGCTTTCCACTTAGCTTTACAAAGTTGTAGTGTGTTTTGTCCTTCCCTTGAACTTCTTCTAACACCATGGAGGAGGACGACTGCAGACACAGCCAGTGCCACAGCCACGGGGCCTGCGAGGCTCCTTCAGACGGCGGCGATAATCTGGTTTGTACATGTGATCTGGGCTACAGCGGGGAATTCTGCGAAACAACAGTCAACGGGCATTTGAGTACACCACTGACCATAAGCGTAATTGTTGTCATCGTCGGGTTGGTGATCCTCGCTTTTGTCTTTGCTAAGATAAGGCAAAGGCAAAAGAGGAACAAGAGGTACTTGGACTTATCATATAAAATACATTGTTGCGGTTTAGAATGTGTTGAAATGTTTTTTTTTTTTGTTTGTTTGTTTTAATTTAGTTTGCTTAAAAGATTTATCCATTTTTTTTGTTGAATAAAATGAGAACATTTACTGGTGCTTGATTTGTAGCATTCATTAAATATTTTTGAATTCTTACTTGATGTTTACCAGCATTTAATTGTTTTTTTATTTAGGATTGGGAAATTCAGGCCATGTATAGATGTCTGAATATTAAGCTACATTTTTCAAGATATTTGTTTTCTCATGATCAATTCTTTATTCAAACTTACACCTCAGTTTGTATGTCCTGTATGGTGTTTGTAGTTTTTTGGGGAGAATTTGTTTGCCTCTCAAGTAGACTTGCCTTAGTCTGCCCCTAGAGGAGATTTGTAGTTTTGCACTCATTGTTTTGTGCGTCTTCACCATGGGTGTGTTTAATGGAAAGTATGACGATACTGAAAAAAGAAAATTAACTCAGTCCCACTATGTTTTTTTTTTCTTTGTCAACAGAAAACAACTGGCAGCACAACAAGGTTATAACGTATCACCTTAATGTGGATAAATATGGAATATGTCTAAGGTAAGCATGTTTTGACCTAACCAGCTCCTTATTTTTGAATACTGATTACAAGGAAGAGGAAAGTATTTACATATTTTTTTCTTACTTGGGTAATGTGGGTAATCAAATGTATTAATCTAACATTACACATACTGTCAATATTACTACCAATAATTAAAAAAAAATGCATCATGTGTCACTGGATCACATTGCTACAAGCCTAAAGTATTTAACTGTTAATCTTTCTAAAAGTAAAATATAATAAACACATCATCTAGATGCTAGTTTGTCAGCTGTTTTGCTCTTGAACTTTATATTAATTGATTAAAAAACCAAAATGTTTCTCATTCTTGTCCAGGTAAACAACGTCTTGGATAATCCCCCCCATCGTGTTCCTGCTGCAGCCTCTGAAAGGCACAAACACTGAATTTACTGAAGCACCTTGACTGATGAGCCCGTTTGCTTTGTTCAGCTGACACAAATAATATTTTCTGCAGGACAAATATGAGGTTGTGTTGGATTTTGTTTCTACAGTCATGACACTGTCCGTGTCTTTATAGTTGAGCTAAACTCACTCTTTGACATTTATTTCATGCAAAGTCATGCCAAGCACAGTGATGCAAATGTTCAACCACTTTCTATGATGAAGCAGGAGCTTTGGCCGGAGGCATTGATCTCATGACAACCAGCTTCTTGTATTTAACTGGTGTTAGCAAGGATTTGTCAAGGTCATAAGGTTTTTGGTATCTCTACAAACGATATAATTTACCCATAATTGCATAGTTTTATGTTTGAAATAATTTATGTGCTGTGTAGTTCACATTTTAGTGCTTTTGGTCTGTTTTTTTTTCTTTTGGTCTGTTTTTTTTTTTAAGCTAGATGAGGAAAGTTTTATTATATTTTATGTCCTGACAAAATATGCCACACCTTGCAGACTTTTTTTATATTTAGAAAAATATGTGGGTCCATCTGATCATTGTCTAATGCATTGTCATAATGTTTTTTAATCCATTTTATTTCCTTGATTATGCACACAACTGATAATTTTGTGTTCCATAATAATCACAACCACTACCAATGCAAATCCAAACTGCATAGTTATCTGTCCTTCTGTTTATTTATTTTTTTCTTTGTTGTTAAGCAGAACATTTGTTTCTGTTTTTGTTCTGTGGAGCATTTGTTTGGTGAAAGTATCCAAGCAATTTTTTTTTTTTTAAGTGGTAGTGTTTCCAATTTTCCTTGTAAATAACTATTTGATCCATGTAATGTCTTAATTCATGGATCAGATCATGGCTCTGTCATGTAACTGCATATAAAATGAGCTTCAATTAAACACCTTTTAGGTGTTTGAGATGTTTGAAGAAAGCAGAGATTCAGTTTGGAACCAACTCTATTCTTTTTAGTTACTGAATTGATTGTCTGGTTAGAACACTTATTTCTCCAAACTTATGGTCCTTCAGATGGTTGTTTGCTATAGGTAAGATGCTGACTGCATTCAATGTCCCCACAGAACCCTTGTGTCAAAGATCTAAGTAAACCCATTTTAAAGTGGTCACTTTATGCACTCTACAGCACCAGTAAAACAAAAGGTTTGTGTGTATATAGAAGGCATTGGCCATGTAAATTATGTTTGAAAAATAGCTTCTTCTTTTTTGTACAAAACTGAACTATGAATGTTAAGCAGATCATTTGTGGATGTCTGCTTTAATAATCTGATTTTGACAAACTGCAAGACTTGTTTACAGTTAGTTATTTTTATTGAGCACAAGACTAACAATCTGTTTCCAACAAAACCAAAATCAAGTCTTTGTTTTAGTGACTTGTTCTTTTTCTTTTTTCTTTCTTTTTGTTAGTAATTTTTTCCCAAATTACTCCGAGTAAACTGGAGTTTTCACATTTCTAAGCTCTGCTGCTGAACATCTATATTGTCACAATAGGGTAATTAGTCCTTAATTTCTCAGTAGATTTTCTGGCGAGTTTAATTTTATACATCTATAAAGGAAAAATGCAGTAAACTTTTTAAATGCTTTTTATATACACTGTTAAACAGTTGTACACAATATAACACTTATCCTTTATTTTATTCTAATAAAATGTATAAAACCGTTTCTTTCTAAATGTCAGTTTTTGTATTGTTTTTGTAGCTGTCTTTCAGATTTCTTGAAGCAGCACAGCTATAGGTTGGTCTCTAATGCACAGTGTCACTGCAGTTAGAAATTAACTTCTGAAAACCATTCAATAAATCACTGTCCATTTTGAATTTGCCCACAAACTTACTTGTTAAAACAACCTTCTTATTCTTCTTTTCAAATTTACCATCCAATCTGTCATCTGACAAATTTGATGGTGAAAATCCTTTTATAATTCTAGACTTTGATTTGGTCATTCTGATGCATATGATTTTGTCCAAATCATTCTATATTTCTATTCTCAAGTGTTAAATTTTAGGGAATAACAAGAATGCAATTTGTATGCAGAGTTCATACAGTGGGCATAACATTTTTTTCCAAAACTAAATCATGCCAGTGTTTAAAAACTGTATGTTGTATCTAGTTTACCTCTGCCTAAAACTACACTGCTCAAAAAAATAAAGGGAACACTCAAATAACACATCCTAGATCTGAATGAATGAAATATTCTCACTGAATACTTTGTTCTGTACAAAGTTGAATGTGCTGACAACAAAATCACACAAAAATCATCAATGGAAATCAAATTTATTAACCAATGGAGGCCTGGATTTGGAGCCACACACAAAATTAAAATGAAATGTTCCCTTTATTTTTTTTTAGCAGTATACAAAGCAAAAACAGAAGTCATCTTTATCAAAACCCTGGAAATGCACAGCACAAGCATTAGGAACTGTGGATTACCATCATGAACAGGCATGTTGGGTTCATGCTGAAAGATATCCGATTTCAAATGCCTCCTGCTCAGCTGTGTTAATCTCAGATTTCTGCTTCAAAAGCATAAGCGGTTTTTGATATGGCAGATATGCCTCACAAAATGAGGTGGCATTCATTCAGGGACAGTACAAACACTTCAAAAAAATATATCACTCGTGTACTAAACAAGTTTCCTGTTATCAAATCCTCTATATTCTGTTTACCCTCCTTGTCAAAGCTTAGTGTGTTAATCCTGTCCTTGCATACTCTCACTCATCTGCTTTGATAAACTACCAACCTGCCTTGACATGTTTGTACAGTAGCCACATAACCTACCAAACTCCTCCAGCAGGTGGTGCCAATCTGCTTTAGGATTGATGTGGGCGACACTGGAAATATCTGCTGCAAAACGGTAAAGGGGAAGTTACGTAGGTCTACCACTGACCATCATCTTCTTCACTTTTGCTCTCGCCAAGAGGCTGAAGAGGCCAAAGCACAGCTTCAAATTAAATTCTCATAATTAATGTGTGTAGAATTAAATTATTAAATTTATTTCATTAAAATTATATATAAAGTAGAAGGATGAAACCTTTCGATTTACTTTTGATTTGCTTTTGCATGCAAAAGCAAACTCAGGGTGTTTTGTCAATTTCTACCTAATAAATTTGGTATAGACTATTTCATATAGCTTTCTTAGAATTGTGAAGTATCAGCATTGGGCCTTACTTTCCTCAAGGCCCAATGTCTGAACTTTTCTTTGTCCATTATTCATATATCACCCGCATATATTATTTAATTTATTTTTTCTTTAAACATTCTCTTAAAGTATATTTACCCAAAAAATGCCTCATGGCGTTTTGTAGAAAATATCTTGACTAAAAATCGTTTTGTGGTCTCCCTCTAGAGGCGAGCTGGGATTTTGCAATTAAAGCAAAATTACAGCATGGCATTCATATTCCTCAAAAATTACTTCTATGTTTTTGTGAATTGTTCTTGTTTGTTGTCTCATCTAGTTTGATCAAAATTATCAGTGAGATTAAAAAATTAACTAAGAATTTTTGTCTTTAATCTACAGAAATGTTTGTAGCCATAGATTCTCTAAAATTCACATATTTTGAAGCTCTAGGTAAGCTTGTGATTGTAAATATTAAATTATATATATATATATATATATATATATATGTGTGTGTGTGTGTGTGTGTGTGTGTGTGTGTATGTATGTGTAACCTACTATATAGGTTAAATGGGTGATTTTTTTTAACAAAAAAATGAATGCCAATCAGATTTTCACCTTGCTCAACAACAAACATGAAGACATGTTTCATATGTCTGCTTCACTGCTCTCTCTGGGGATCAGCCAGATCTTCACTTGCAGACAGACCAGTAGACTGTGACAGAATAACAGGACTAAGGTCTCTGCTGAAAATGAGACAAGCTAACAAAACACATTTGTTTTTCAGTATTATAAGTGTTCTTTTCTGATTTTTTTTTAATGTTTGCCTTTCCTCAGTAGAGGTTGTGCTATAACCTCTGCTCATAAATATACATGCAGTTATGGTGATCATATTTTGCTTTCTAATTTTGCTGTTTAAGATTATGCCATTGTTATTGACATGTCTTTGAGAAAAATGCAATAAATCCTCTGCCTTAATATGTTAATGAATACAGTTTACTTTTAAGTACCTTTAAATTCTTTAGACTTTATGTAAAATAGTGTTCTTTTTAACTAAGGAAAGAAATATTGTGAGATTTAAAATGCTTTTTCTCCCAATTGGTCAGATAGTTAGATGTTCAAACTTTCTTGTATATTACATAAACTACTACAAATACAGGGAATCAGATAAAAAAGCAGGGTGCTGCTTCATTTAGACTTTAAATTACTAATTATTGATTAGGATAGTTAGATGGTGTATGTACAAGCTGCATGTTAACGTCATTCTGTGTTTGATTGATGAGCTAACATAAACTCCATTACATAAACTCCAATAGTCATACAAGACCAGAAGCAACCAACCTTGGTAACCTGAGAAAGTGTCTGAGACGAGATCAAACTCATGCTATGTCCACATGTGTTTTTAAAGTAATAGGCAAACCTTACGAGTCCGGTGCGTATAGCGACATGAAACTTGAAACTTTATGCTAATATTGACTCTTCTGGATACTTAATAGGAAGTTTAAAAGTATTATGGCACTTTCATTATGTAACTTGCTGTTACAGAATATATTTTTATGAAGAAACAAAGTTGACTTTGGTCACAATCCAAGTGTAGAAACTTTGAGGCAAACGATGAACTTTCAACAGAAAGGTGTTTTGGATCGCGTGAAAAACTTGCCACTGGTTAAATAAAGAGGGATGATGATAGACGTGTTTCATAAGTGCTTTGTTTCATATTATGCCAATAACTTTGGCAATAAGTTTGGCAAACTAAGAGAACTACATTCAAGCACTGAGAGAAAACTTTATTTCTTAAACATCTGGGTTTCAACTTTGTTCAGGTGTTGGTGTGGGTGTGAGAAAATATGCTTGCCGCACCCCAGACACCTCTTGCACTTGTCATAAACTAGCACTCTCCTGGGTATTCAGTGTATGGATAACAAACAATTTACATCTGTAAAGCGGAGAGTCATCACCATGTTTCATTGTGTAGGTTTACTACTACATATAGCACTTTGCCAGTATAAAAATTGTAATTAAAATTGTTTTACTGCAATAGTATTTCTTATGTTGTGCCTTCCTCAACTTTCTCACTAAAAATATTCCACTGACTTTTTTTTTTAAATCTCATTGTGGTTATATTCAACTATTAATTCTGCAAAACATTTTTCATAGTATTCAACCATCTCCATATGTTAATACTGTACAGTAGGTTAATCCTGTGTAGTAATTTGACTATCAGGAGGTCCTAGAGAATAAACATCTGATTCATATGTATTTTAAGAATTCAGGAAATATGTCACTGATCAGGGTTGAAGCATACTTTTTTTCTTTGACCCAAAGCCTGACTCCTACTTGTGTGGAGGAAAATATTTCATATTTTTGAAATAATATTAAATAAACTCAATTTTCAATATACTGAGTTCAGTAGTTTTGAAGTAATAGTTTTTAATGCATTGCCATGAAGTTGTAAATTTGAGAAGAGCGTATGTATTTAAAAAAATGCTTTAATTTAAGCTTGACTGAGACTGTGCCTTAAATAACAGGTCCTGCAAGAAGAACTGCATTGCAGTTTCCTGCAGGACTGTTGAGTGACAAAAGACTCACCAGGAACCTCACCTTTCTTTTTAGATTTAACAAAGAAAATAATGCTGTTGTACAAGATGCATAAAGAGCCCAGCCTCTCAGACAGGTCAGACTACATTGTCTGTATACTTTGGGAGGAGAAGCCAGTAAACATGTGCGACTGAGGAAAAGAGAAATATAGAATGCAACTTGGAAAGAAAGCTTTGCTTCTTTGTGCAGAGGGAGGCCAAAACATTGTCCTTAGCCATTTTTTTCTAGCTTTATCAGCATCATTGCAAATATTTATTTTCATCATACTTTACTCCAACAGCAAATGCGCCACACAGCTTTAACGTAAACCAATAGACATATGTAGCAAGTACAAATTTCTAGCTAAAGCAAACGTCTCCAATTCTTTGCACTTTTAAGTAAAAAGGGGAATTCAGTAAGGAAGCAGAGTGCACATTTAATAAAGACATTCAGAACAAATGGCAACACGTTAATCACTTTGGGATGCTTCTGTCAACAGAGACTGCCTTTTATAAAGTGCTTAAGAACACAGTATTTACATAAAATAGAAGTACAAAAGCTGAGAAGTTCATAGACAGCAACATATACAAAAATGCTTTCTTCATTAACAACAGGTTGATCGCCAGACATACTCATTTTTGTTCTCCAATTACAACAAATGTAACTTTTAGATTTGCCTATTTAAAACCTGCAATACTCTTCATTTTATGTTCCCCATCTTTTCATTTTCCCTGTTTTATAACAAGTCTCTGACTCAGTCAGTTGCCTAACTCAGATGAGTCTCATAGATCAGCATCATAGGGTCTGCCGGTGAAGGAGGGGTTGTTGGCTCCTGAGCGGGCCCCGGGGCTCTTGGCCCTGGGGAAGGACACATCCATGTCATCATCGACGGATTCCCTGTTGGAGGCCGGATAGCTGCTGGCGGCGCTGCTCCTGGGTCGACTCAGGCTCGGCACGTCCACGCGTCTCGGCTCCCTTTTCGGTTGGCTCCTGGGGCCGAGGACATCTTCAATCGGCCTCTCGCCGCGGTTCCTCCCGCCACAGCAGCGGCAGCAACCGATGGACATGACGATGCCGCCCAAGACTTCAAATATTCCACCGATGAAGCCCAGTACAAGACAGTAGCCGACGCGGGTTTCAGTCCGCTCGATGTCTGTAGAGATGTCTTTGAAGATGTGCGTGTACCAGGAGACAGGGATGAGGGTCAGGACGCCTGCGCAGAAGATAAGAATGCCGCCCACTGTGCAGAGGCCCCACCGAGGTTGGTCTTTCCAGCAGCGCACCCCCGGGATGGCAAAAGCAATCCCCACCAGATTCACAATCAGGGAGGCCAACATCAAACCCTGAGAGATCTCAATGATGTTGTTCGAGTTGTAAGCGGTGTCCGTTACTGCACAATTCTGTCTTTCAGTGGATGTGGCGGCGATGCAGACGTCAAAGATCCCTTGCTCGTAGACCCGATCAACCGGAACGCCGGTGACCCCATGAAGAGTCCTCCAATTTGGGGCCACGGTAGTGACGAGACTCAGGATCCATCCGCAGGGAGCCATCACCATCCCGAAGATCAGGATCCCCGGGGTGCGCATGGTCGTGCGGACCCATTCTGTATTTCTTCTTCTGAAGTTCGCCAAGAACGGCATGGTTGTTCTCAGTCCCTAACGTCGTGTTCAGAGATAGGAGCGACTGACTTTTGACACCTATGAGCGGTGGCATTAAAAACAAGTCCGACTGAAACTTTGCAGTGGGCGGACACTTTCCGGTTCGTTCCAGTCTCTAAACAGGACAGGTGCGGCGCACCGCGCTGGAGGCGGGCGGGGCATTTTTTTTTTTTTTTTTCATCTTCACCTGCTACCAAGAACAAGGACGAGGCCAGTTTCGACGAGGCTTTTTCTGTTTCAGATATGCGTATCTGATAAAGAACACGCCAGTTATTAAACACGTTTCAAATAGAAAGTCAAAATGAAGATAGAGCTTCATTATTTTTCTAAAATGCAATTAAAATTGCGCTACTGATTGAAACTCACACTACAGGTAACACCCATCTAATCCACACAGGCTACAAGATGAAAACAATTAAGCCAAACAGAAATTAAGCCATTAAAAAAAGGAAATAAAGGAATGAAGATAAAAAGGTGAGGAAAAGAAAACAAAAATCCTTAAAATCTGTCAGTATTCAGAAAGCACTGCTTATCAGCTTAAATTAATAACAACTGGTTAAGTTGATGGCCTTTAAAATATATCTCATATTATCACAGCATGGCATGGGTAAAAAGAAAAAGATGAGTGAAGAAATCATCAAAAATCTGGAAATAAAACAAGAGTGGATTTTTCTGCAAGACCATAACAATCTCACAGTCATAGCAACTTTCATCAGGTTTCAGGGAGACAAAGTGAATGGCTGTGTAAATGATCTAGTTTGAATTCAGTTGGAAAGAACACTATCATAGAGATTACATTGGGATTAGATGGCAGTTTGTGTGGAAGGACATGCCAAACTCACACCTTAGCAATACACGTAGTTCCTCCACACATGAGAAATCTTAAAGCTGTCAGAACCAAAAAGTATTTTTGACTAAGTATTTAGTAAAGTTTTATAAGACAGGCTCAATAGTCTATGAACTGATTTGTGTGAGATTTATTATTCATTCAATTTATTAATTTACATTTGTGTATATTTGTGTGTGTGTAAAGTTTGCCCGTTTTATTACAGCAGCATTTCACAGCCTCAGACATTTGTCAAGGTTTTTAGGTTTGCTTTACCACCCCAAGATTAGTGATTAGTTGTCTCCATCTTGTCAGTGTTTTCAAAACTTTTCACAAATTCATCTAAAGCTTCAGAGATAAAGTCTTGTTTTGACTATGGCTTGAAAAGGTCAAAACGGCTGGAAGAGAACTATTAATAGAAACAATGCTGTTCTGCTGGATTTTCTTGAAATAACTTGGGTTCATTTGTGCTCCAGCATCTTTCTCTTTCTTGTAGCCCCTTTTCTATCATCGTAGAGTACCCTGCAGAAAGTATTTCTGCACCTTTTCATTTATGTCTCCCAATACATGACTCATAGTGGGTTTCTTGAGGATTTGTTTCTTCAAGTTAAGCATAAGCCTCAAGGGTAACTGGGTGTTTCTAAAATGAAAATAAATACTCTTTGTGAATTTCAATGGGCTCAATAAAAGTAGTCAACATTCCAAACATAACAAGATTCCTTCAAAAGCATCTGTTAAGTTCACACAGCTCTCAATCAGTCTTTAATTATCAACAAAACAGATTAACTTCTAGGGAGGACAGTTAGGTTCTAATCCAGTGCAAATGGTCTTTTTCTTATTGTGACTTAAATCGTATGTAGTTGAAAAATAATTGCCTTTTTTAACTGATTGGGATCAATCACTGATTGAATGCTAATTTATGCTAATGTTTTCACCAAAAGTGGAAAATTCCAATTTTGAGGTCACATTTTTCTGAAGGTGCGTGAGGTTGTTTGTAGTTTTGTTCCCAGAACTTTGAGAGTTTTGATACTTAAAGAGCAGCTGGCAGAGGAATGGCAGGCATGTCAACCAACCAGACTGACTTTGGATTGTCATGGTGACGTGGCCTTATTTTTCTGTCCACATTTACAAAACTGAATCCTTGTCATGGTGACTGTTATCAGATGTCACCAACTTTTTAAAAATTATTATTAACGTGAAACCATAGCTTCCCATCAATCTGGAATACGTTATATTGTTATCTACAAGCAATATGAATCCATCAACAAAAGGTGAAAAGTGTTTTCCAGTGGAAAACAGTTCTGATTTTCTCAGGAGGGAAGGTCCAAGCAATTTGAAGAGATGATTTATGCTATATAGCTAACATAGAACCATGACACATTGGAATCGTTAGGATGACCATAAAATCCTCTGAATATTAAAGTATTCTGGAGTCAAATGTGTGACCCGATAGCTGAATCGTAGCTAAAACTGAGTCAGCAACGGGACAGTTTTGCCAAACACAGTAGAAGAGATAGAAAAAGAATCACAGTGTTGCAACGGCCCAGTCAAAATCCAGAACTCAAACTGATTCAAATGCCATTTTCAAGCCTTCAATGATCTGTGAAGAATGTGTTGTCTGTAAATTTCAGTGAACGGAAGCAATGTTACAAAGGAGACAATCTGGGAAACTTATAAAGACACACAAAAAACAGTTTCAAGTTACTGCTGCTAAAAAATAGCCCTACCTGCCAACTGACCATGGGATAAATATATATTTATGTAAATAAAAAAATAATTAATTTGTATTTTTTCACATGCATTATTTTAGTTTTTTATATATATATATATATATTTATATATATTTACTTGAAAAATACAACAACAACAACATAAAAGTCTGCCTTACTTTACCTTAAAAATATTAATGTGGAATTGGTTGTGCATATGTTCTGATATGCAAAACACAATAACGAAAAGAGGGTGTACTCATTGTATGTTCTACACCAAACAACCTAACAGATTTTTTTTTGTCTATGTTTTGATTTTAAGGTTAGCCCTGCAATAGTAGGTTGATCAAGTTGTTTCCTGTAACTGGTGCCAAATATTTACACGTTTACAGTTTCGACTGACGAGCTGACTGACGAAGTGTTCAGATGCCAATGATGCCATTTTAGATGTTTCATAATTCATTTAAAAAGTTGTTAGTAAACAAAAGATATTGGACACATATATTATTAATTTGTAGTCATCATTTTTGCTTAGCTGTGGGACAATTATTGAGCTTGTTTATAAAAATCTAAAGAGGTAACTGACAGACACATTAGTCTAAACATACATCATTACATTTTGTTTTAATGGACTGCACAATATTCCAACTTTGAATCATGAATTTTCATTTGTTAAAACATTTGTTTGAGTTCATCTTTTACATTTTCAATGAATGCTGTGAAAGCTAAACCTCTCAAGGCTTTACCCTAGAAAGTCTGCTGCCATCTGATGGCAAATAAGTGTAACAGCTGTAACATTACTGGATACTTGCTTAAGGTTTATGTTTCAAAAGTGCATTTAAACATCCTTTTTGTTAATATTGCAGACACCTTGGACCATGTTGTTTGTCTACTCTGGGTTTAAGGATTTATTTTTTTTATTTAATTACCTTTAGAAATCTGAACGTGTAAAAGAAAAAAAAGCATTGATTTCTACACCTGGGCAGATGGCCAGTCAATCATAGGGGCACATCCAATAACCATGTACGAACAAATTCACACCAAACTGGAATTTAGAGGGATCATTTAACCTAAAAGTTCTGTTTATGGACTTTGGGAGGAAGCCTGGGGAAACCTAATTGAGCCACCGAACAGTCTGTAATTATTTTTTTGAAAATAAATTGAACTTTATGCTCCCAGATATGTCAACATTGTTCAATATAGCAGCTATAAGCTACTGAAACTGATATAAAGAACATCAAATTCGCGCATAAAATAATCACATAACAGAACAAGACATTATTTAGAAATCTAACGACGTAATAAAGTATTTAATAAATTCCTTCACAAAACCTAGGGTATTTTTTCGTTTTTTTATTTTTATTTGTTTCCGTGAACTTCCACCCTAGATGACTTATGTCTCATTTAAGTTTTTGCCAAGCAGCTGTTATCCTGGTAATCCCGAGCGGAAGTTTGGTTTTCCAGGCAGGAAATTGTCAGCAGTGTTTGTGTTGCTGCTGGGGACTGTTGTGTTGTGAAAATGGCGACGCCTCGTCGCTCCTCCCAGCAGCAGCAGCAGCAGCAGCTGAGCGCCCTGCTGTCCTCACCCCCTCGCAGCGCATCTGTACCCGTCAGCCCGCCGGACTCGCCGTCTGCACCCGCCGAAGATGCTTCCCCTCTTTCCCTTGGAGCAGAAATGGAAAACGTGGCTGATGGTGAGGTAGCGCTGACCTCTCCCAACACCACTTCCCCGGCTCTGGCCCTCACACCCAGCAGCAGCAGCAGCAGCACTACTAGCTCCCCGACCACCACCGAGGGAAGCGAGACTAGCCCTGGCTCTACGCCGGACTCTGGCAGTGCTAACCCCCGCAGCTGCAGCAGCACTATTAGCGGCGATGCAAACGGCGCTTTTAGAGAGCTATTTGAAGCCTGTCGAAACGGGGACGTTTCCAGAGTCAAGAAACTCGTAGATGCGGTGAATGTGAACGCCAAAGACATGGCTGGACGGAAATCTACACCCCTGCATTTCGCTGCAGGTAACCATATGAAAGCATAATAATAATTAAAAAAAATAAATAAATTTTGTTTTGCTATGAAAAGATTGTTTTTGTCGAGCCAAAGAGCAACAAGAACAGGAAAAGTGTGAGCACCGAGTGCATTTAATCTCACGTGCAACAAGTTTTCTTCCATAAGCGGCAACGTTTGGAGAGAAAAATAACAGAAATAAAGAAAGTACAGATATTTTTTTTAATTCACGTCACTTTCAGATTTGTCGAAATTTAGTCAATATTTAACTTTTGGCTGATATCGGTTTCCCTGGCCAATGCCGATATTTATTGATCAGGATGGTCAATTCTGTTGTCCGTCATATTGACCGATGGGATTTAAAAAAAACGTCATAATCTATTTTACCCGTCATTTGTTAAACATAATGACATCCAATTGCATTTAATTTTCATTTAGTTTATTTAATATTCAAGCTGAACAGAGAGTCCACTAGGGCTGTTGTGATACAATAATCTCACGATACGATACACGTTATTCTGCTCATGAAACGATATGTATTGCGATATTCAGCAAAAGAAACAATTA